GTTGATACCATTTCTAAAAGAAGCATTTACATTTATTATTAGTAACCTCAATTCAATCAACTCCCTCTTTATATATATATAGATATATTTTTAATAATTCATGATAATAAAGACTAAACATAGATTATGCGAAATTTCTTAATTTTTTTTTGGTACAGGAATCTTGCAGTTTCTGGATCCACATGGGAACCTACTAATCCGGAATCGAGCCGGGTAAGACCACAAGGGCGGCAAAACTCTCCTTCAAGAGTTTTAACACTGCTGCATTCCCAGGGCTCGAACACGAGACCACTGGTTAAGCTGGAAGAGACACAAGCCATCTCATTCAAGCGCTCTTGGGTGCGAATTTTTATAATTAATGTGAAACTAGTATTAATACCCTATGTACAACATGAGTGTTGAATTAATAAATATTGTGTAAAGTTATTTATATTTCTAATACCAAACCTAACTCTAGAGCAAAAATAATATAAAAACAACATCACGAAACATAAATTTTCGTCATGTCAACATACGAAGCGTGAGAATTTGCGACCTAAGCTCAACACATTTGTAATTAATATATAAGGAGGGATGGATTGCGTGTGTTTATACAATGCTTGTAAAAAATTATACGAAATTCAATATAAAAAAAAATATGCAGTCTAATTTCCACGAGGCCAAGAATCCAACCATTTCGTTTTTGTAATTTAGATGGAAATTTACTGTAGCCTAAATTAAGATTTGCTGACGGGTCCAAACTCGAACTCGGGTGTCAAATCCACGTGGACACGGTGAGAATTAGCAGGAATTGACGTTTTACCAAAAAATGAAAAGGACATATATTTGTTTTTAAATACGTTGTTATTTTTTTCACCGAAATTTAGGCAATATTGGACCAGACAATGTATGTGTAATAATACAGGGAAATAGTCTCGTTATGGAACCATTTTTTCGGAATTTGTAATCGTTGGATCAATTATTATCGTCGAAAATAGTTGATCCAACGTTACAAATTCGGCAGAATAATTCCATAACGGGACCGTAGCATCCCCAAATAATATAATGTGTAGCAATAATAGGAAAATTATGGCTTGAAAAAATAACAAGGCGACAATTTAATCCATAAATATAGGAGCAGATGGAGATAGTTACGAGATATATGTAGGGAAATTTAAAAGTTTGACATAATTAGTTGCCATAAAAGGTTTAAAATAATTCAAAAATTCTATGGAGCCATCGGATGGTTTTCTTATGGAGCCATTCATGACTTAGTATATTGACACTTGTCCAAAGTGTATTTATTGTAGGACACGTGTCAATACACTATTTGTGAATAACTGTGGATGGCTCCATAAGCCGAGCCATCCGATGGCTCCATAGCAAAACTGTAAAATAATTTAAATGAATTAGTGATTAGTACTTTGAGATTCACGAAATATAGATGTTGAATAAGTATTTTTTTTTAATAGATTGTTGATATGAGATATCATACGTAAGGAAGTAAACTGGTTGAAGAGCGAACGGCCTGGTCGATTGGAATTGGAGCAGAGATGGTGGTGGTTGAGCGGCACCAATACGAGATTAAGAGTCTTCAATCTGAAAGACAACATAAGGGTTTCGGGACAACTAGGACATGTCGAGCTAGGGCACTCGGACAGCCTGGTAGAAACTCGACCTATAGATACGAATTGTCGTGTGATCGACCAAAACTCAGACTCCCAGCAGTTCACAGGTTACCTCAATTGACCTAGAGTTGGTCTTAACATTAAGCGACCCAATACAAAAGACTAAAGGATAAAAAATAATTTTAGGGGAATTAAACCCCCCACAGGGGGTGAAACCACGTGGTAAATTGTGATCGATAGCTAAAAAACTAGTTGGTATAATAAAAATATGTTTATTCATAAACATATATCATATAATCTGGCTTATAAATTTTAGAATAAATATTGTAGTATTAAAATAATTTTGGTTTAGTCAAACGAATGTAATAAAAACTTAATCTTATCTTAGATGCTTCTTTTTGAACCATCTCAAATAAATCTATTTAGAATTTTCGTTTCATCCTACATATCAACTACATTTCACCAAATATTTTAATTATATCATTAGCTTTTCTGTCATCAGTCATAATCTATTAGCTATCATTTTGAAATTAACTTTTGATCTATTAGTTAACTTATCAAATAACAGCTAGCTGTTTAGTTAGATTTATCAAAATCCAAATAAACTCTAATAGTATTTATAAATTTCGTTAATAAGTCAGCTGAAACAAAATTTCAAACAGGAGCTTTTTTGAAACACATGTTTCAATAAGTTCTATCACTACCTCAATGGGCTGGATTTTTTTTTTTTAAAAAAAAAAATTACATCATACCGAACAATACTTATTTCAACATAAATAAGTTACAATTAATTCTAAAGAGATGCAACAAAACTGGATAAGATAAAAAACACTCAATAATTTTCATAAAAATAATGAGAGTGAGTCCACGGATAAATCGAATACGAATTGGGAACCCCTACTTTTTAAATTTTAATGATGATAATATATGATATTTAAGAAACTATTATTGGATTTTAAAATAAATAATAATAATAATGTGGAACCCATTGCCAGCAAATACAAATTCAATAAAAATAATATAGCAATTTCCAGTTAGCCAACAACTCGAAACCATATGCTATCTAACTTCAACTCCAGCAAATTGACTAGACCTATTCACAATGTTGATGGTGTACAATTATTTCTTTCTTTCTTTCTTTTTTTCCCCCTCGAACTTTTGTATTTTGTACTTTTGACAACAAAATCCGCAAATTTCTCGTCGTTACCATACTCAGCTTCAACGTTAACCTACTTCAGATTAATCGAAAAATATACAAAAATGTGTTTTAGTGTTAAACTAAAACGCATCTGTCATATCTATTAAACTATTAAACAAGTAGACCCGACATACTATCTGAACAAAAAAATGCATGTTTATATATCGAATGTCATATTTATGTTTATAGTATTTATTTAATGTATAGTATTTTCTAATGAACTTATCCATATTGTTGAAAATAATGAGTGTAACAAATAAAGTAATATGAAGGCAAAGTCCAACTACAAATATCACAATTTCAAATTCTATATTCTAACCCCAATTCAAAACAAAAAGATACTCTATCGTTCCGAAAAAAAAAAAAAAAATACAACACAAATATTAAAAAATAAATAAAAAAATCACAACAAGAATCACACCAATATTTGGATACATCAACACAAAATATCTCCACTTCAATCACTAATCTTCTGTCTATGCACACACAACACAAATACACAATCATAGTTGCCTTTATGACACACTATTAATCAAATCTAATACTATACCTCTATAAATTTCTCTCCTTTTTTT